GGAGTGAGCCCTGTCACCAGGCATCCAGTAGAAGGCTGGACAGGCACTGGTGGGACAGAGATGACTCTCAGGGTAGCCCTGGGGTGTCTGGGATGGTGGGGGAGACAGAGGGGCAAAGGCAAAGAGCAGGAGTCTGGGGTTTGCTGATCAAGCAGTATGGACTGCTGGTGAGGCATCAACGCATTTAAACATCCCAGCATGCTTTGAGCACTTACTGTGCACCCAGCTCTATGTTTGGTACTCTGCCCTCAGAGGGTGAGGGCAAGATGAAGGTGTGCCATTGAGATGCTCAGGGCCTGGTGGGGACAATCACCCTAGGCCTGCCTCCTTCCATTGAGGGCTGGGCACAGTCACCATCAGGGGGAGCAGGGGAGGGGGCCTCCAGTCACCGGGTTTCCCATATACATGCCAGGCCCCAGGTGACCCCACCCTGTTGTCTAGGCAGCCTGGCCCTGAGACAGCCTTGTGCTGAGGCCCTGGAGTGGGACGTTCCACTGGGCGAGGGGGGACATGGGTGCCAGGCCATGTGCTGGACAGCTTCCCCTGGCTCCTACCACCAGGCACAAAGAGGGCTGGAGATTGAGGCTAAGAGGCAGCCTGCATGAATGTGGGAGGGACTGGCCAGGCCCTTGATGCTCTGCCCTGGAGCCCTGGCCACCCCAGGACCTCCAGCTGCCAGTGAGTTCTCTGCCCCACCCCTGCCCATCCAGCACTTCTCCTGTGGTCTGACAGCAGACTTCTGTTTAGTGCGTTTTTTTCCCAGTTCCCAAGGAAGGCTGGTAGACAGAATGAGACCACAGCCTGCCAGGCAACACCCCGTAACACTGCCCATCACATGTATATGTACTAGGCCAGTAGCTGTAGACTGGTCTGGATTCTCTTGGAGGTTTCCTAGGCCCAGCCTGAGCTGTGCTGCAACCTGGGGCTCAGGTGGCAAAGCTGGACCTGAGCCAGGCCTAGCATGGCCAAGGAGGGTCAGCTCTGGCCTGCCCGCTCCTGGCAGGAGGGCTCTCCATGGCTTCCCGGCCAAAACTCCTGTGGGTAGTTTCTCGGTAAACCACCCACTCGCAGGGGAAGGGGAGTTTACTGAGAAACTTGCCATGGAGCCATGCTCTCACTACCTTGGATCAGAGCCCCAACTCTGGGCAGAGCAGAGACTCTGGGACTGTCTTCCAAGAGCTGGCACCATGGACCCCTGGCTCAGCTCCTTAGGCTTCCGTGCCTATTCTGCTAGCCAGGCGTTTGGTCCATCCCAAGGGTCAAAGAGCCAGAGCCAAGGCTGGATGGCAAGGCCTCCTCTGAAGCAGGAGCTTAGACTCGAAAGCCCCCCATACTCCAGGCATTTGTGCCCTAAGGTGGTGAATGGTGGAATGCTTTCTGGCAGGATCCAATGTTCCTGAAGGAGTAGGCCCTGAGGCTCAGTCTCCGTGCCCTCAGCTGTCACGAGGCCTGGTCAGGGCTAATGCTGTCTGGCTGGCTGGTGCTATTCTAGGAACCTGTTAGGATAAAAACACTCCAGGGGTTTCCAGGAAACTTCCTACTTTAACAGGCCCTTGGCTCCTTCTCCCTGGAACTTTAGGACAGAGCAGAACTTTTGCATCTGTGACCAATGAGGTGAGTAGGACTGGTATTCTCATCTCCATTTTACAAGGAGAGAAAATGCAGCCCCAGAGAAGGGATGAGACTGGCCCAGGACCCTCTAGTAAAAGGTCAGTGAAAAGGTCAACAAGCCTAGAGCCGGGCTTCCCAACCTACCTCACATCATGGCACACTTTCAAAATTATCACTGGAGTAAATGAAGAAGGATGCTGGAGGCTAAAGCACCCATGGGAAGTCCCAGGCATTGTGAACAAGGAAGAGAGTAGAAGGTGCTGGAGTTACAGAGGCAGCAGGGGCCAGATCATGTAGAGCTTTATTTATTTGAGACAGCATCTCGCTCTGTCACCCAGGCTAGAGTGTAGTGGCACAATCACGGCTCACTGCAGCCTCGATCTCCAGGGCTCAAACGATCCTCCTGCTTCAGCCTTCTGAGTAGCTGGGGCTACAGGCATGTACCACCATGCCCAGGTTAGTTATTTTTATTTTATTTTCAGTAGAGACAGGGTCTTGCTATGTTGCTCAGGCTGGTCTTGAACTCCTGACCTAAAGCAATCCTCCTGCCTCAGCCTCCCAAAGTGCTGGAATTACAGGCATGAAGCCACGGTGCCCAGCCCACAGAGAACTTTGTAGGCTCCAGGTCAGGAGATACCGTGGGAAGCCACTGGAAGCTTCAGGCAGAATTGACATGATCTCATTTCTGTTGCTGCTGGATTGAGGACTGGCGGAGGGACAGGAGAGAAGCAGGGGTCTATGGAGGGGGCTGCCGCAGTCATCCAGGTGCGAAGTGATGGTGGCTTAGACTGGGTGGGGGACAAGGAAGAAGGAAGAAGTGCTGGGATTCTAGATGCATTTAGAAGGTAGAGCATTAGGATTTGCTGACAAATTGGACATGGAGTATCAGAGAAGAAGAAGTCAAGGATGACTCCAAGGTCTTTAGTCTGAGCAGCTGAAAGGATGGAGTTGCCATTAACTGAGGAAGACAGGGAGGAGCGTTTGGGGCAGGAAGTCAGAGGTTCTGATCTGGATATGTTGAGTTTAGGGGGCATTTCAGACCACCAAGTAGAGCTGAGTAAGCATTTGGAAGTAGAGTTCCCAGAAGTGGGGCTGGAGAAGAAATGTGGAATCATCACATGAAGATGTTTAAAGCTGTAAACCCAGATGAGAGGAAGATGGGAGCCAGAAACAAGGTCAGGAAGGAGTGGTCCATGAAGCTGGTGGACTATCAGGCAGTGTGGCATTCTGCAAGCCAAGTGAAGAAACTCTTTCAAGGAAGTGGGAGAAACCATTGTGTCTGATGCTGCAGAGAGGTCGCGTAAAATGAAGACTAAGAACTGACCATTGAGTTCAGGATTGTGGAAGTCATTGGGACTTTGACAAGAGTCATCTGGTGGAGGGATGGGACAAGAGACTGGCTGGGTTGAAGGCAGAATGAGGGCTGAGAACTAGGGGCAGTGAATGGGGACAGGTCTGCTGAGGTTTCTGTAAAAGGGAGGAGGTGGTACCTGGGGGAGGATTTAGAGATGGGAGAAATGGCAGCCTGTTTGTACCCTGATGGGAAAGATAGGGTTTACAAAATGCATGACACAGTCCCTGGCATGTGGCAGGTACCAGATACCTGAAGGAGTTCACATGTGTTCACACACCCTGCAGCTGCCCCAGCCTCTCCTCTTCCTTGCCAGCCATCTATAGGGACATCCGCCCCTGTCTGCCTGAGGAAAGGAGGAAGCCTGGGAAGCCCTGTTATGTAAGGCTCCTCCTGGTGGGCAGATGGATGAGCAGGGCCCTGACAGGTGGCAGTGTCAGCACCTTCCCCGAGACCCGAAGGGAAGGGTGAAGCCTGTAGCCCGGAGGCAGGAATGTGAGGAAAGATGCCAGCAACAGGGCTGTTGCTGGCAGGTGTGGGAGCCTGTGCCCAGCTGGGAGCTTCATTCCTTGGCTACAGTGGGGCTCATACCCAGCCTTCCATCTAGACTTGCCCTGGGCTTCTAATAACCAAGTGCCAAGGGACTGTGCCAGGCCCCCTCACCATGAGCCACCCTTCTCCAGGCCTGGTAATAAAGGGGCCATGAACCCTATTCACTACTAGGAGAGATGCCTGAAGCTCTTATGGAGTCTGGCTAAATTCACCCAGTCAGGAATTGCACCCACAGAGTGGGGAGGAAACCAGGCCACAGCCCCTTATTACTGACTTGCCCCAGAGATGTCTCGTTTCCTCTGTGCCAGGGGTCAGTGATCACTCATCCATGCTCCCAGCCAACAGCAGCCCTGCAGATGGGCTTTTCAAAGTGGGAAGTTGAGCCTTGGTTGCAGAAGATGTCTCCAGGGCCCTGACCCATGCAGATGTACACTGAGAATACTGTAGAGCTGGGCCTTGGCCCTGGCAGTGACTCCCTGCAGCCAGGTCTCCCTGGGGAGCCCCTCCTTCCAGTCTGCTGACTGAGTCATCTCTTGATAGAGCAATGCAACTAATGTTAAGAGTCTTGGCCAGGCGCAGTGGCTCACGCCAGTAATCCCAGCACTTTGGGAGACCAAGGCGCGTGGATCACTTGAGGTCAGGAGTTTGAGACCAGCCTGGCCAATGTGACGAAACCCCATCTCTACTAAAAATACAAAAATTAGCTGGGCATGGTGGTGGGTGCCTGTAATCCCAGCTATTCGGGAGGCTGAGGCAGGAGAATCGCTTAAACCCCCAGGAGGCGGAGGTTGCAGTGAGCTGAGATCGTGCCACTGTACTCCAGCCTGGGCCACAGAGTGAGACTCTGTCTCAAAAAAAAAAAAAAAAAAAAAAAAAAAAAAAAAAAAGAGAAAAGAAAAGAGTCGTGCGGTGCTGAGGAAGCAGGAAGTACGGGGGCTGGGCAAGGTTGGCCCTGGAGGAAGCCAGGCCCCATCTCCCCTGAGTTAAGGGATTGAAGAGGGCCCTTCCCTGTGTCAGAAAATCCTGTTAGGCCTGAGCTAAGACAAATGGTCAGAGTCAGAATCCCCAGATTGGGGGCTAGAGGAGGAGGAAAAGAAAGCTCCAGGCTGTGCTGGGGTAGGCCTGGGTCCTCAGGCCATGCCCTGCTTTAGAGGGCTGGAGGCTGTAAGCAACCCCCAGACAAGCCAAACCTGAGATGAGGAGGCCAATAAGGGTTTTCTGGACAGAGGAGATGCACCTCCAAGAACTGAGTGCCCAGAAAGACCAAGAGGCTTTCTAGGGGGTGGGACTGCTTGGGCAAAGTCTTAGGGGCTAGTGGGCAGGGGCACTGGACATGGTGACTTGAGTGGTATCCCCTTCCCTGAGGCTTGTGGTTTTGGCCACCACTACTTTTCTTTGACAGCTGGGCTTTCTGCACACCCTCACCCCAGTGCCTTCCCTCCCTCAGGACTCTCCACACTCACCCACTCTCCTTCTCATTTTTCAGCACAAGGCCAATCAGCCCCCCCATGGTGTCCCCCAACTCTCTCTCTACGACCATTTCAACAGCCCACACCCCACCCCTGCACCTGCGGACATCAGCCAGAAGCAAGGTACAAGCCTGGGATGGGGAGGGGCCCAGTGAAACCAGAGCCTAAGGGCTAAGACCCCGGCTTCTGAGATCAGGTAGCTGGGTCCATTTTATAACTGGAGAACCTGGGGCTGTGCAAACTAAGGGCCCAAAGAAAATTCCAGAAAGGTGGACTGGGGGTATGAGGGCACCAGAAGACTGGAAAAGGGGGTGCTAGGTCAAACTGTGAAGGCTTCAGGTTGAGCTACAAGCCTAAATCTCATGGGTGACCTCGCTGCCAGTATTGCAGCATTGCTGAGAACTGTAAAACTGTAGCCTTTCCTCCCCTCAGTGAGAAAATGGAAAGTGGTGGTTGTGACGGCTGATTCACCTCAGCCTCAGGCAAAGTCATTCTGAAATCCCTCATTGTCAGCTGTGGGAAACCTGCTGACTCAACCCTGGGGGGCAGGTGGAGCCTTGGCTCCCCAGGCTGGGTTCCCCTAGACCAGGGGCCTACCTCCTGCCCAGAAAGCCAGGCTGGAGTCCCCCAAGCAGAGATGCCCCAATGCCTCCATGCCTGAGTGACTTCAGCTCTGCCTACTGGCCCCCTAACGTCTTAGGCAAGTCACCCCAGCCCTCTGCCCTGGGTTCCCTTGTCTGTCAAAAGGGCACTATTATCACACTGGGATCCTCCTGAATAAACCAGTTTATGTCCGGTCCTCTAGCAAAGCTGGTGGGATCTTAAGGCCCCTGTAGGAGGCTCTAGGTTGCAGTAACTGCTGATGTGGCCTGCCGGGTCAGGCTAGCCCACTCACTCAGCCTTTCTCCTCTGCAGTTCACAGGCCTCTGCAGACCCCTGACCTCTCTGGCTTCTACTCCCTGACCTCAGGCAGCATGGGGCAGCTCCCCCACACTGTGAGCTGGTGAGTGGGGGTCCAATGGGAAAGGGGCACCGTGTGCTGGTCAGACCAAGAACTGCCTGCCTTTCCATTTCCTCCTCCATCCCTCTTGGCTGGCCACCCTGCTGCCAGCTCTGTTTAGATGCCAGAGGCTGGCCAGCAACTCTGTCCTAAACCTGGCTCCGAGCTAGGGGTCTTCATGTACCCTTGGCCTGCATTCCCCAGGTAGCCTGACATACTCCCTTTGGGGAGGCAGGAGAGCTGCTCCCTGGTCCCAGCCCTGTCTCCCTCAGTGTCCAAGAGGTCCCCTTGGATGGGAGAACTCTGGGCTGCTAAGGGACCTCCAGGGCCATATGCATATGTGAAGAAGAAAGGTGGGCCCGAGCAGGGCGGGGACAGCATGAGTGGCCACCAGAGAGGCTGCTGCTTCTCAGCTCACTGTCCTCAGTGCCTACTGCTTTTGGTCCTTTCCTTGACTGGGCTGGTTGAGGGGCAGTGTCCCTCCCTGTGGTGCCTGCTTGAGCCCAAGCCTCTGACCAGCCTGCTTGGAGAGTCTTAAGGCTGGGCCAGGAAAAGAAAGCCTGGCCTCCTCAGCCAGTAGGCCTGACTATGGGCCAAAGGGCCTGTCCTCAGCTGGAGCTGGGCCTTGGCAGGCTACTTGGCCCTTTACTCATCAACGATAGTGTGAGCTGTGCAGGTCTATAGCCTATTTCAGAGAGCTGGACTGCGGCAGTCACCCAGCAGCAGGAAAACTTGACTTCCCAGGGAGATCATGCAGGCCAGAGGCCCAACCTGCGGCCCACTTGCCCTTTACCCATGGTCAGCACCCTCCTCTGTTCCAGATTCTCCTTGGACAATCCATTCTGAATACAAATCAAGACTACTCCCATGAATACCCCTAGGATCAAGGTGTAGCAAGATGCTCGAGAGCCCAGCCTTACTGGACTAGACCAGAGTTCCGTGGATGCAAATCTTTAGGCCAGTCTTTCCAAAACATCCCCTAGGCCAGCAGTGCTAAAGTCTAAGAGACTTGAGTAGATTTTACCTACCAAGACTGTAAGGAGGCGACTTTAGGCAGCCCTGTGCTCTCGCTTCCACCCGGTAGCACTTGGCTGTGAGGAAAGAAGTGGGGGTATTTTCGCCATCTTTCCACTGAGCCCTGCTGTGTGCCAGGCAGGGTTCTGGGCACCAGGGAAGTCGGCACTGCTGAAGCTGACTGATCCTTAGGTCCCTGCCCTCTCAGAACTCAGTCTACCTAGTGGGCAACCCAGGCAAAAACCAGACAGTTATAGGGCACTCTTGGTAGTGCTCTGGTTAGGGACTGTAGGAGCCCAGAGGGGTACCTCATCCAGCTTGGAATCTCAGGGATTTCAGGAGAAAGGGTCACTTAGCCATGGAAGACCTGAAGGATGACCAGGAGTTGAAGCAGGCAAAGTGGTGCAAAACAATCCAGTGTTAACAGTGGCTGCAATGGCCCCAGGACAGGTATCAGCCCTATACCGTCAAAGAAACAGAAGCAGGCTGCTAAGCTGGGCCCCAGAAGAAGGATACCGTTTCCATTCCTCAAGCACCCATACAAGTTTACAGAGGGAAACAGGTGCAGCACAAGCTGCCCTCTGGTGGCAGATGCTTGAAATTCCAGCAGAGGCCCATCTGTCTCACAGGATGGGTCAAGGCCTGCCTAGCAAGGTAGGGAAGTCCTTCCCTGTGTTTGGCCAGCAGCCAGACTGCTAACAGCTGTCTCTCCCAACCACAGGCCCAGCCCTCCTCTCTACCCCTTGTCCCCTTCCTGCGGATATAGACAGCACTTCCCTGCCCCCACTGCAGCCCCTGGCGCCCCCTACCCCAGGTGAGTCCCCTACACTGCAGCCAGGCTCCTGCTTCCTGTTGCCCAGGCTTCAGTGCCCACACAAGGCCATGCCCGGGCCAGTGCTTGCCCTGTGTTAGTCGTTTGTCCATCTGTCCGTCTGTCATTTTGCAGCCCCCTGCTGTCCTGTGCCTGAGAATGAAGCTACTGCAAGTGCCAAGAGGCCTCAGCCCGGGCCACACCATGCAGCAGAGCCCCAGAGGCCAGGACAGTACATGCATACGTGGCTCACCCCTTGTGCAGATGTGTGTGCACTCACCTCTGTTCATCCCTACTTAGGAGGACTCTCCTGGGAATCCCCTGAGCTCTGCCCCAAGCTGAGACAGCACCTTTTACATAAGTCCCCAACCTCTGACCCTTAGGGGCTGCTGGCTCAGGCATAACACCTGTGCAAGCAGTAAGGGGCAGAATGGTCTCCATAAAACAGCAAGAAAGTGAAGTGGGAGGTGTGTGTACATGGATCCCTTCACTTAGGTTGCTCCCTCAGTGACAGACTCAGTGCCAGATATGCAATGGCAGGGGATTCCACAGACATTTCTAGCCCACTGGAGCACACAGCCCAGTATAGCAAGTGTAGACATGGCACCAGCAGCTTAATGGGCCAGCTGAGTGATGGGGAAGCAGGCCTGATGGGTCAGGGAGAGCTTCATGGAAAGAGTAATACATCTTTTGCGAGAGGAAGACAAGGGAACGGCCATTATTGGGGCTGACTGGGAGTGGAGAGGGACAGGAAGCAGAGGGGAAAAGAAGGGGCTAGAAACAGCAGCAGGATGCTCATGCAGGGCTGTGCAGGCCCTTGGGAGCAGCCTGGGTTCTATTGTGTGGATGCTGGGGGAATTTCAGCAGGAGCAAGTCAGGAACATTCAGGTGTTTTTAATGGTCACTCTGGCTATTGGGTGGAGAGAGGCCTGGAAGGGTCAAGCAGGAGAGGGATGAGGCCTCACAGGGCAGCCACAGGCTCCTGAGGCTGGGTTGGTGGGGGAAGGATGTGAGAAGGGGACAGATTCAAAAGCTACTTGGGACCTATGTAGTAACCACCTGAATGGCAATCTATGTAGATTTTTACAGTGTGTCTGTGTAGTGTGCTGGGAGCAGGTATTTGTATTTATCTCTGTGTACTTATGTCTAGGCCAGTAGGGGTAGAGCATCTGTTCACCTGTGTCCTCCAGTCATGTACTATGCAGGGGCCTCCGTGTGTGTCCAAAGGTCTGGCCCATAATTCTTGGCTCAGTGTTAACTTTCTTCCTGCCTCCAGGTTCACCCACCCGTCCTTGATGCTAGGTTCTAGTGTACCTGGTCACCCAGCAGCCATCCCCCACCCGGCCATTGTGCCCCCCTCAGGGAAGCAGGAGCTTCAGTCCTTCGACCGCAACCTGTGAGTGAAAAGACAATGATGGCAGGGGGTGTCGTCAGTGAGGATACACATGCCTCCCCATCAGGCCTGAGGATTGCCACCAGCTCCCTGGCCAAGCTGTTTGTGCCTCTGGCTACATGTTTTTGATCCTCAGAAGTAGGAGGGGGTGGGTGGGATGGGGAACAAGGATTTTTCTGAGCCAACAGAGGAGGGGCTCAGAGACTGTAGTATCCCTGTAAGGAACAGTTACTTAGCTGTCTGCTCACCCATTTGGGGGCAGCTAGAAAAGATTCCACTTAGAAAACTCTGGTATCATACACTTATGCACACACTAGGCCCACACTAGAGGAGGAGGCTGCCATTAGGTGGGCACTCAAGGGGCTCCTCAGCAATCTGGATTTGTGCTCCTCAGGAAGACACAAGCAGAGTCCAAGGCAGAGAAGGAGGCCAAGAAGCCAACCATCAAGAAGCCCCTCAATGCCTTCATGCTGTACATGAAGGAGATGAGAGCCAAGGTCATCGCAGAGTGCACACTTAAGGAGAGTGCTGCCATCAACCAGATCCTGGGCCGCAGGGTAAGACCATGGGCAGGTGGGCTGGCAGGGATGCTCCCTGACCCTCTTCAGCCTGGTGCAGCCTGCTGACTCCCTGATGCACCCCACCTGTCCCCCTTCCCTGTTGCAGTGGCATGCGCTGTCGCGAGAAGAGCAGGCCAAGTACTATGAGCTGGCCCGCAAGGAGAGGCAGCTGCACATGCAGCTATACCCAGGCTGGTCAGCGCGGGACAACTACGTGAGTGGCCAGTGACACACAGCAGGGGTGGGAGGGGACCCTCCAGATACTATGCCCCAGGCCACAATCTCAGCAAGGAACGCAGAACTACTGTCCTGAAGGCACTGATGAGGAAGGGCATGGAGGGTCTAAGGCCTCCCATGGCTGCCTCAGAAGAGGACAAGCCCACATCCTATTCTCCACTCCAGAATATGCTCACACATGGGCTGTTACCCAACATTTGATTGGGCCACATGGGCAGAAGGGGAGAAAAGGGTCTGGAAGTCACCTCACCTCCCTCCATTCAAATTGGAGACCAGAATGGGGTACGGGAAGAGCTTCTAAATGCACTCCATAGCAGCCTAGCAAGAACAGCAATCGAGAAACACCAGCATCCCCAAGGTAGGAGGGGCCTGTATGCCCAGAATCCCAGAGGTACCAATGCTAGGCAGCAGGCTATGGGTATCCCAGTGTCTGCCTCCCAGATCTGAGCATCCTTCCTTTTGTTCCCTGCAGGGGAAGAAGAAGAGGCGGTCGAGGGAAAAGCACCAAGAATCCACCACAGGTGAGACCTTCCCTCAGCAGAAGTGGAGGCTCCTCTCCATGTCCCCATTTTAAGAGCAGCCCTCCTCTGACCCAAAGGGAGGAGCACGGTACCCAGCCAGGAGCCTTCAGGGCCTGGGGCCTATGAAAATAAGACCTGCATCTCACAAGTCAAATTCCCATGCAAGAAACAGCTATATTATACTAAGTCCCAGGGAAACTCAGCAGAACTGGCTTCTGCTGGGTAGAATTGGGTAGACGGTGTATTCCTCTGCCTTGCACCCATGACCTTTGCTAGCTCCACTCACCAGAGAAACTAGCAAGGAACTGACTATGGTTTGATGCTTAGCCCAAACAATGTCCTGGCTAGTTCTGCTGAGATTGGGAGAGGCTGAGCTAGGCCCCATGACTAGGCCCAGTAGTCACACAGCCTACTGGCTGGAGCCTGGCAATTTATCACCCCTACTTCAACATTTTTCATGGCAGTGCAAAGTGCTCTATGTAGAGAAGCCCACACTCTGCTGCAGGCCTCCTTCCTGTGGGTGAATTCCTGCCCCTCTGGTAACTTAGCGACTCTACATCCCTGACCTTCTCAGATGTGCTGTCCCCATACAGGGAAGCTGGAGGCTAGGACTGGGACAGAGCAGGGCAGAGTTCCTAGCCCTTTTTCCAAGGTAAAGAATGGGCCCTTCCTTCCATCCGCAAGTGAACAGGCATAAGGTATAGCCTTCAGCGTTATTTCTTGAAGGAATGTAGGTCAAGAATGAAGAAAAACTGGATAAAATGGGTAGGGGGTTGGGGAGGAGGTGGGTGGCCCTAGGGCAGAAGAGGCTGGATCTCCATGGTTTCCTTGGGCTCCTCTGCAGCCTCCATGCTGCAAGGACCCCATAAGCCACAGAGATAAGCCAGACTGACAGGACTCCCTCCCTCCCATTCTTCCCACTGCCTCTACTGCGTAGCTGGGTGCCCACCTTTCCTGATATCTTGGCTCTGGGCTCTTGGGCTCCCACTGGGGCTGGCTGTGCCATGGAGAGGCCCACTCTGCCTATGGGGGCTGTAGGGTGTCTATAACTGGCTAACACTGATGTCACTCTTCTTTCTGGGCCCTGCTCTGCCCCGCTGCCTGCTCGCCCTCTGCCCTGCTCTGCCCCTCTGGCATGGCTGTGAGCAGACCCTGGCTCGCCTAAGAAATGCCGTGCTCGCTTTGGCCTCAACCAGCAGACGGATTGGTGTGGTCCGTGCAGGTGGGTTTGTCCCCACCATCGTTCTCCCTTTGCTTTAAGCTGCTTCCCTGACTCTGCACAATTTCCACTGGGCCTGCAGCCCACTCCTTTGGCCCCTCAGCCCACTAGCATACTCAGCAGACTGGGGAGCCCAGGCCTCCTGAGAATAGTAGTAAATACTGAACACAGTGTGTGGAGAAGAACGCTTGGGTCTAAGTGCAGGAGGAGTGGAAAGAAAGACAGAATGTTCCAGAAAGGAAGGACAGACTCAAGAAGGTAGCTCTGATGCCAGTGGGCCTAGCAGGTCCTCAGCAAACAGACAGCTCAAACACCACTAAGGGGTCCTGGAGCCCATTCTCCCAGGCCTCAAAGTCATGGCCCATCGGCTCCCTCACTTCCTCTTCAAGATGGGATCCCTGCCTGTACCATCCTGAGCCCTTAATCTGAAAAAACAAGGTGACGACACAGAACCATCTGGTTGCCAGGCAACCATGTGACTTGCTATCTTGTACCTACTGAGACTAAAGGGCTGAAGAGGCTGGGGGAGAGAAGCCAGGGTACCCTGGGCTGTCTGAGGGAAAGGGCCCACGTGTTTCACCATACAACAGAGAAATACTTGTGGTTGTGACAAAGTTTACCCAACAAGTGGTTAAAGTTTCCTCAGTCAGTTTCAGGCCAGGCCTGGCAGGGCTAATACCGAGGGTACTCCAGGCAGTAAGGCCAGTGGCTCTAAGGAGCACTTATCCAGCCCCTCAGTGTATCCACCACACTCCCTGTCTAAGGGTAAGGAGGAGTGGAGTTTGGAGTGTGTCTGTGTACCCACATATATATGCAGAGTGGGAAACAACCCTGTCTTCAGAGGAAGTTCTATTCCATTCATTCCATCAGAGACAAACTGGCCCAGAGAACTCAAGGATGGTAATGGACAAGAAGAGTCACTGTCCATGTCTTCTTCTCTAGCCCAACCTGAGGACTGGGATGGCTGGGCAAGGAAGCCATAGGCATTGCGGCCCCTTGCCTTGGTGCAGATCTGAGTCCCACAAACACACCTGGAGAAGCTCAAAGGCCGGGACTGGGAGATGACTCCCTTGGAAGACAGGTGACAGCCCACAGGCCTAGTGACAGAAGGCCCCTGTGCCACCTTGTGGCTGTTCTGGGAACTGCACCTGTCCTAGGTCTGGGCCAGGCCAAGCAGAGTGGTACACTGACTTACCACCCAAGTCACGGGAAGAGAGGACAAGAAATCAGCCAGGCCTGTGCAAAGGCAGCACTTTTTGGTTGTGGTGTATGACTATGAATTCACCCTCTGTTTACAGATAACTCTCTTCACTATTCCTAGGAGGAAAAAGAAATGCATTCGGTACTTACCCGGAGAAGGCCGCTGCCCCAGCCCCGTTCCTTCCGATGACAGTGCTCTAGGCTGCCCTGGGTCCCCAGCTCCCCAGGACTCACCCTCTTATCATCTGCTGCCCCGCTTCCCCACAGAACTGCTTGCTAGCCCTGCGGAGCCGGCACCTACATCCCCAGGTCTCTCCACTGCTCTCAGCCTCCCAACCCCAGGGCCCCCACAGGCCCCCCGCAGCACCCTGCAGAGTACACAGGTACAGCAACAGGAATCTCAGAGACAGGCAGCCTAGCAGGCACAGGACACCTGGCCTCCTCCAGGAGCCTACCCCCTGAGAGAAAGCAACAGAGACCCAGATTGCATGAAAACCAACCAGGGGTCCTGTTAACTCCGTCTCAGGGTTCAGACCCTGAAGATTCCAGAGGCTGCAAAATTTCCACCTGAACCTGAGGCCATCGATTCAAACTGCTCCAAGTGGTAGGAATCAGATCTGTGTTGTTGTGTCATCTAATTAAGGGAATCCCTTGTACCTGTGGCTGCCTGCATCTATTCTTTGTACCATCTGTCTTGCCAGCCAGAAGCCTCTGCCTCTCTAGCTTTTCTGCTCTAGGTTAGAGATGGGCTGAACTGAGCCTAGCTACCTTCTCTATCCATCTCCCCCATCCCCCACTGCCACACCCTCCCCATTCATGGACCAAGAATGACCTGGTTTGTCAAACAGCCACAAAGCTCAAGATGACAACTCTTTTAAGGAAATGGAGAAGCTCTATTTGTAAAACAAAACCAGCTGCTACTCATAAGTTGGACCAGAGGAAGCCTCTTAACCATGTTCTCAGGAGCTTGCGAGAAGCAGGAAGGGGAATGGAATAGGTTGTTTAGGCCTATCAACCTAAGCAACAGAAATAACCTGACACTACCTTATCAGGCAAGTTGGGGAGCGGGGGTGTATCTAGCTCTATTTCAAATTATTTGGAAGTGTTTCCTGAGAAACTCACCGGCCTAAGAAGCTCTGATACCAAGGCCCCAGGCTTGTCACTAGCAGCGCAGTCAACAGTTCAAAGTAGTCATGGCCCAAATCCAGTGTGCACCCCTCCCCACTCACAGAGCCTTTTCCACAGTTCCATTTCCAGTTTATCTATGGCAGTCCAGCCAACTCCTGGGCAGCTGTGAGATGGCAAACCCAAAACCTCACGACAGCCAGAGCCTGTTTTCCAGCATTCAGTCCAGACCAGCTCCAGTTTCCCCATGGGGCTGCGGGACAGAGGACCATTACAACTAGATCAAGGAGCCCAGAAAACCTCCAGTAGTCCAAACAGGTTTTCACCATAGCCTACTTTAACCCATTTTTGAGCCAAGCTTCAACCCTGAGCCTTGAAAAACAAGTCTTTTTTTTAATTTAATTTTTGTTTTTTGCCTCCTTCTCATCGTACGTAGCCTGAATCCAAAGAAAAAGGGCTGCCTGGCCGGGTGCGGTGGCTCACGCCTGTAATCCCAGCACTTTGGCAGGCCGAGACAGGTGGATCACCTGAGGTCAGGAGTTTGAGACTAGCCTGGCCAACATGGTAAAACCCTGTACCTACTAAAAATACAAAAATTAGCCGGATGTGGTGGTGTGCGTGTGTAATCCCAGCTACTCAAGAGGCTGAGGTGGGAGAATTGCTTCAATCCGGGAGGTGGAGGTTACAGTGAGCCAAGATGGCGCTACTGCACTCCAGCCTGGGTAACAGGGAGAGTGTGTCTCAAAAAACAAAAAAAAGAGGGCTGTCCATGTACTTACACACCCCTCAAAAAAAGCCTTTAGTTCCTACTTTAGCCACTGGTTTCTCAGAATCCAAAGATCACATATTCTAGTGTAACACTGCAAGAAGTCTTGAGAAAAAGATTGTAGTGTTCAAAATATTTTTGCATTGTTAATACATCATCATAGAAAAACTTTTTTAAACAAGAGAATAAAGATACTTTTTACTGGATTTGTTTTTCAAAGCCTGACCCTGAGGAATAAGTTGTTTCAGTAACAGAGCACGATATTATTTCCTTTTCTTCTCCACAGTTAGGAAACTTGGAGTTTGTTCCCTATGGTGCATATGTTCCCAAACCTCCAGCCTGCAGAAACCAGGGATTACACTTGTCATCTCCCCTAAAGGGGTGTGGCCCCTGCCTGCCTCACCCCTGAGAGCTAGGCCTATACTCCTAAGCTTTGCTCTCTTAGCCCCCAATCCCCCCAGTGATGCAGACCCCACAATGATGCAGGCCAGCCTGCTCCCCAGTGCTCATATAAAATAGATCAGTTGGTAACTGCTGTCCATAAAGGCTGAAAAGAGAATCCAACCTGAAATAAGGTACACATGACCACTAGGCTCCATTTTCCTCTGAGGGCAGAGAGAAAAGAAAACATTCCACAAGTGCATATCCTATTTCAAGGAAAACAAGAGCAAACAGGAGTCTTTTATAACCTATTAGCACCACAAAATCCTAAAGAAGGATTTTTTAATAGCACCCTCTAAGACACAAAGTATTTTTCATATTTTCACACAAGGCTTTCAGTTTGATAAATCTATAACCCACTTTTTAAAAAGTCATACACACTGTTGGTGGACACGAGAGCCACCATATCCACTTTATTTTTACATTATTCGTATACATTTAGGGGGTACAAGTGCAGCTGTGTTACATGGATATATTGTGTAGCGGTGAGGTCTGGCCTTTTAGTGTGCCCCCCACCCAGAGAGTGTACTGTGCACGTAAGTAGTGTACGTTGTACTCAACAGGATTTCATACCTCATCCCCTTTCATCTCCCACCTTTTGAAGTCTCCAGTGTCTATTACTCCATTCCGTATCCATATACCATGTGTACTCACTGTGTAGCTCCCTACAACTCACTTTTTACATGACAGTTTCCACCAAGCACACTACTGTCTTCCAGAGACCCATCATGAATGTAAAAGGTGTCATGAAGGCACCTCAATGAGTCAGTCAACAAGTAGATGATGAATGTCAGGCAAGAGGTATTTCACATGGGACAGCCAGTGGGCCACCATCATGCATTGTCATTGTCATTCCACTGAGTTCTATTTTTTGGATTTTGTATTTAAAGATATTTATAAAGAAAGTCATCTTTCAGAGCAGTGTCTGTTTAAAGTAGGCCACTGGAAGTTGTAACCCCAGACTTGCTGCTTTTGCTTCTTTCTGAGAGAGTGCTAGAGGACACTAGCCATTCTCTGGACATCTGTCCCATTTTAAATAATTCTGTTCTGGCTACTGGCCTAGTTGTTTTAAAAAAAAAAAAAAAAAAAAAAAACCTACATTCTAACCAGGGCTTATGCAAATGCAAGACCAGGTTGCTACATCTGATTTGGTGTCTCACTTAGAGTACACAGGGTACATGAACAATGCAGTCTTTGTGTCTTGGCGGGGAAGCCTTTGGCAACTCTTGTTTAAATCAGATCAGCTTTTTTTTTTTTCTTTTCAGTCTGACTTCATAAACTCAGATCCTCTCAAATCACCCTGGTGCATTCCTATGAGGCCAGAGGGTGACTTGAGATTGCAACCTCAAGTTCAACTTCTAATACCACACCAGGCCCCCTTCACTGCCAGCTGAGAACCCACCCTGTTTCCTGAGACACTGTAAGACAAGATACCTTAGCCTCCCTTCAACATTTCCAGACAACTAGCTGACCTGCAACTTGGGTGAAAGATGTTCGTCCCTCCTTTGGTACAGCTGCTTCCCATTTTGTGCTCAGTGGATATGGTGAGGGTTCAGCCCAGCAAGCAGACAAAAAGCTTATGTCTCCCAACCTGAAGGTGTCTACTTTAACAGAACCCCATGGCTGGACTCTCTTCTGACATGTAATTATCTTTTGAATGGCTCCTGTGGTCTCCCGTTCCTTCTGGCTGTGGACCCCGCACAGCTGGCTCAGAAGCACTGCTCCCTAGCTTTGTTCAGTGTACAGTAAGCCTGGCCAGGAAGGCCACAAGTAAAGGGAAGCGCAATAGTTCTTTATATCCCATTCCAGAGAGGAAGAAAGGGAATCAGTTTCTGCATCTGCTTCTCAGAAAACAGCACAAAAGGGGCAAGGGTAACAAGGCCATGTTAAACAACTACTTAGGACTGTATGTCAAAGTAGAATTTAAGACCCAAATCTAGTTAATTGTATAAAAAGGCTAAGTTGGCTTTTCTTCGATGTTAGAAAGGCTGCTTTAAGTGTGACTCTCAGATCTCTTCAGAGCTTTTTTTAAGCTCTTCAGGGCTTTAAGAGTTCACCAAGGGTTTTTGAAACAGCTGCCCACCCAAGCAGACCCTGGTTGTGTCAACTCCCCCAATCCCAACTTACTGTGATAACCTTGTTCCAAATCTCAAATCACCCTGTGGGCATCTTTCAAATTCAGTCTCCTGAGCTCTTCTCTAATGGTTTGGAGCTACTAACAAACCATTACTGGCAGTGAGCATCTGAAAATACTCAAACAGCAGGGAGTTTGAAAACAGGGAACACAGATGGTGGGGATGTTCTCATACAGTCCCCTAGAATAAAAGCCTAGCTCAGGCCAGGAAGGATTTTCAAGCTCTTAAAGATAGCATGGGATTAGGCATGTTAATTGGAAAGGGAAAACTTACGTCCTGGGGGTGGAACTATCCTATCACAAGCAGTCCTCACAAGGTAGGTCACTATTGGTAAGGGATGTTTCACTTGTGGAGACAAGATAGCAGCTGTGAATTATGTGGGAGATAGCCCAGGCCGACACTTCTTTCATATTCACCAGGGGCTTTGGACCAAGTCTTCCTTTTTCATTCAAGTGTTCTCATTCTTTTATCTGAAACCTTGTTCTTTCAGGCATGTGCAATGTCAGGAAGCAGGGTGGGGGGCTTGGGGAGGGAAGAGAAAAAGCCAGGTTCCACTCACCAAAAAAGAAAAAAGCCACTCTGGAAACCCTGCTTAAGTACTTCAGGATACAGAGTACAGCTTCTCTATTTTCCCACCCCTTTCCGTAACCTTCCTGGAACAGAAAAGTCTGCAAACCAATTGAAGAAGGCAAAGAATTAGAGGTTGTGAAATGGTATACTCAGGAAAGGACAAATATGAATTTTCACCAAATAGGTGGGAGGTATTCAAAGTGAGAGCACTTTAATGAAATAAGCTGATCCTCAGTGTGCAATAAGAGGCTGCTATACAGCAGGTTGAAAATTTAAAGACAAGACATATCAGAAGGTCTGAATATACTTAAATACTTCCAGAAAATTTAAAGTTGAGGATATCAGAGGTCACAAGAACTACAGATGTGGAAGCAGACACTGTTGTGAGCAACTACATTCCTCCCATAGAATGCTGCTCAATACTGGTACACAGACCAGAGGTAGCCAGCAGTACACAAGACTGCAAGGCAACAAGTACATTATCAATGAATTAGCCATCTATCACTTAAACCATGTTCCGCATTGGAAGTGTGTCAAGCAAGAGCACCTTTGACAATACTTTTCTGCCACCACCAATGATCATCTCCACTGACACATACTTCATCTTGATATGCACAGCCAGTTCTCTTACTCATTCTCTTTGACCATTGGAGGTAGTGATTTTTAACAACAGTAAACAAGAAAAAGTCATCAGGACTCTTTAACTGTAAAACCCCCAACATTCAAAAGACAGTTTAGTTCAAGAGCAAAAAAAAAAAAAAAAAAAAAAAAAATTAGAATTTAGCTCACACACTCAAAATTGCCCTGCCTAATGTGAGTCTGATGAATAAATGCTGATAAAATACTACCGAGTGTCAGCAAAGTACTATCACTAATCCTGCCCTAATTTCTCTTTACAGTCTATATTCTCAGGGAAATGTACCAACACCCAACCTTTTGCTGTTAGTTCCTAACTGAGCACTGCTTTGTCCTCACTTTGGCATCTCTCCACCCCCAAACAAATCCAACTTGATTCTTAAAACCAAGTTAGATTCACTTTACAGAACCTTTCCTAGCAACTTTCAGCTCTGTAGCCCCTCACTGGCTCATTAATCTTGTTCTGTCCAGAAACACTTTTTTTTTTTGAGACGGAGTCTCGCTCTATCGCCAGGCTGGAGTGAAGTCAGTGGCGCGATCTCGGCTCACTGCAACCTCCGCCTCCCAGGTTCAAGCAGTTCTCCTGCCTCAGCCTCCCGAGTAGCTCGAACTACAGGCGTGTGCCACCACGCCCAGCTAATTTTTGTATTTTTAGTAGAGATAGGGTTTCACCATGTTGGCCAGGCTGGTCTCAATCTCTTGACCTCATGATCCGCCCACCTCAGCCTCTGAAAATGTTGGGATTACAAGCGTGAGCCACCAAGCCTGGCCCAGGAACATTTTTATTAGAGTTATCCACTCCCTCCCAGCAGTATTTGTGCCTTGTCGCCTGAACTACACCAAAAGCTCCCAGCTCCCAAGAGGGAAACCATGTCTAATGCTTCCTATCAAGGAGAAGCCAGGAGCTACACTTTAAGGATTCAGCCATTTTGTAAGCTTTCCCTTTGCTTGCAGTCTTCTTATTCTTGACTTCTTCCTAGGTTAAAAAGTTATACACTGGTTTCAAATCCAGATAATTAAAGATTAACTTTTCAAATCCTCAAACAACTTTGTAGGGAGAACATTTACTTGGTTGAGTCTTTCCTACCAGAATGTACACTGAGCTTTAGAAAAGGAAAAATTGGTGGGTGCTGTGGCTCACATCTATAATCCCAGCACTTTGGGAGGCTGAGGCAGGAGGATCTCAAGCCCAGCAATTAGAAAACAGCCTGGGCAACATGGGGAGACCTCATCTCTGTAAAAACAGTTTAAAAATACCAAAAGTAGCAAGGCATGGTAGTGCACACATGTAGTCCTAGCTATTCAGGAGGCTGAGGCAGGAGGACTGTTGCAGCCCGAGTTCGAGGCTGCAGTGAGCTGTCATCACACCACTGCACTCCAGCCTGGGCGGCAGAGGTGAGACCTTGTGTCTTAGAAGAATCAAAAAGCTCTTCAGGCTACTCTGGGCACACTGCCTATGGGGTAGTCCTGCTCTGCAAGGAGCAGTTTAAAAAAATCTTCAAAAGGTAATGGTGGCAAGCAAAAGTTAAGCTTGTAAAGGGTGCTTAGAGAAAGAGGTCTGCTGCTCTCTCAAGTATCTCTTTTTTGGTGGAAACCACTTCATATTCCCAAACTGCCTTATTAACAGCCTAGGCAAATTAATTTAAACGAAATTTATGTTGGGATCAGAACACAGCCCATAGGATTGGCCAATTTTTAAGTAAACTGAAAGATCATGTGATTTGGAATATCTGCCTGCCCTAAGTCAGATGCCCACAGTGACTCACTGTTACTATCCTCCCTCCCCAGCTAGTTTTAAGCTCAGCATTACTATGATGTCATGTTACAGGGCTGCAGTTACCTGTCCAACCAAGTCACAATACAGCTTTTGCTTAATTCCAGGAGCTGGTATATTCTGACAGCTGTAGAGTAAAAAGTCACAGCTATAATCTCACATAAGGAGCTACAGGATGATTTTGTGAATCTTTGAGAAAAAAATAAGAACTGTAAAGCAGTATCTATTTTGTATATCAAGAATAGATTAAGGCAAGCTAACACATGGCCCTTCAAAAGAGGAACTTGCTTCTGCAACTTAAGAATTATTAGGGCTGTGTGCGGTGATTCACGCCTGTAATCCCAGCACTTTGGGAGGCTAAGGCGGGCAGATCACAAGGTCAGGAGTTTGAGACCAGCCTGGCCAATATGGTAAAACTGCATCTCTAATAAAAATACAAAAAAAATTAGCCAGGCATGTTGGCATGTGCTTGTAATCCCAGCTACTCGGGAGTCTGAGGCAGGAGAATCACTTGAACCTGGGAGGCGGAGGTTGCAGTGAGCTGAGATTGCACCACTGCAGTCCAGCCTGGGCGACAGAGTGAGACTGTCTAAAAAAAAAAAAAAAAAAAAAAAAAATTTTGAGGGGGCACATCTTTATGACAATGTTAAGGAGAAAGTAATAAGCTAACATTCAGGAAGGTTTTGGTTTACTTTTAGATCACAAGTGACATAATCAATGAAAAGGTGAGAAGCCAAAGGACTGTGATGGAGTCCTTGAAAGGACTTCATCATTAAAAGCAGCACACTGCAGAAAGCAGCATGCATTTTGTTGACAGAGGAAACTGAAAAATATTCTTCAATCACCCAAATCTGCCAAATACCTTCTTCCTCTCATTCTCTTTCCTGGTGAAATAAAGGGCATTTCCTAATTAATCCCTAAGGTTACTTTATCAAGAAGGGTTTTCTTTCCTTTACTACTATAACAGTAACTAGAGAAAGTCTTCATAATTCATCAGTAACCACTCTCCAAACCAAGGCTATTACCAGCTATTACCAAGCTCTCCCCTCTCATGCATTAAAACTGCTCTTCTTGTTTTCATTATACCCTGTACCTGCATTTCACAAGGACCTTTCACTTATGTTACCTATATTGAAATTCATGGAGTAGTGCTACTAAATACAACTTAAATCCTGCTGTCAAGTGACTTCCAATTAAGTCTTGGAACTAATATAAAACAGACTGCACTAGATCTATAAAACCATAGTACCTACTATTTCCAACTTGCCCAAGGCCATGCAGACACTAAAATGCCAGCCTCAAGGTATGACTTAATGCCACAATATTAGTTTAGAAGAATGGTTGAGAAGAGAGTAGCCAGAAATGAGTGGAGTTTTGAAGATTGAGGTTTGGCTGCTGTGATAATGAGAAAGGACCACTCACTCCAGGTGAGAGCCTAGAAAAGTTCTAGTAGATATATTAAAGGAATAGTGGGCATACAGCAGGGAACAGGAAAAAGGAAGGTACGAAAAGAATACTGCAACCGGACTGAAAAGGGCTTCTTAATACCATGTCTATGATTTATTTGGGTCCATAATGGTCACAAATGGCATATTTTCTCTTGGATCTCTATTAATGTAAAAATTTAAGATTACCAGGATTTTTTGTTGTTTGTTTAGGGACTACAGAAAATCAAGAAGGAAACAAAAATTTAAATTACTACTATATTATCTGTCCATCCAATCTTTCTGAAAGATCCCAGTATCCTTTAAATATGGATAGTGACATTATTTACTTATATAATTCTAACAACTCCTGAGTATTATACAGATCAAGTGGTAATAATAACAAGCTCCAGTTTCTTAGAAGGTGATACTTCCTTTACAAGTTAAACATGGCATAAAGCAGTAATCCTGGACCTTCAGTGAAGATTTGTCATAATACTGCTAAGGATACTTTCGGTTTGCTTTTGAGATAAGGTCTTACTCTACCGCCTAGGCTGGAGTGCAGTGGTGCAATGCCAGCTCACTGTAGCCTCGACCTCTCAGGCTCAAGCAATCTTCCCACCTCAGCCTCCCAAGTAGTTGGGATCACAGGCATGCACCAAATGACTGCTTTTTTTTTTTTTTTTTTTTTTTTTTTGAGAGACAGGGACTTCCTGTGTTGCCCAGGCTGGTCTCGAACTCCTGGGCTCAAATGATCCTCCTGCCTTGTCCTCCCAAAATGTTGAGATTACAGGCATAAGCCACCATGCCCAACTGCTAAGGATACTTGAGGTGGATAAGGTTTTTGCAGAACTTGATCTTATAGCAGGAATTGGTAGATGAGACAATTCAGCTAGGACTGTACACTGCTACCTTTCCCACTAAAACCAGGACAAAGAGAAAACAAGCTTATCTCCTAAGAGTAACAGGAACCAGGAATCCAAAAGTAGTCACAGGGGTTGGCAAACATTTTCTGTAAAATGCCAGATAGTAAAATATGTTACTTTTTGGTCAAATACAGTTTCTGGTGTGTGTGTGTGTGTGTGTGTGTGTGTGTGTGTGTGTGTGTGTGTGTTTTAAACAACCCTTTACAATGTAAAAACCATTTTTAGCTCAAAGACTACAAAAACAGGCTATGGGCCTGATTTGACCCACACATGTTATAGTTTCCTATCTCTGGTACAGACAACAAATTGGAATTAAGTGAGACAACATATGGGACTTAGGTGAATCTGGGACAAATGAAAGGTGAGATGAAGGCAAACTACTGTCAAGGGATGATCTGAGCCTCAACAATTCAGTGAATGTGAAGAGAAAACAAGATTACATAGGAATATAGATGTCAACTGGAAAAGGAAGGAGAAAAAAAGGGAGCACAAGGAAGAAAAAAAAATCAAAATTTCTGAGCCAAACCATCAAAAAAAACTTCATTCTATTGTAGGAGAGATGCTGGAAACAATGACAGAGTAATGTGTTAAGAATTAAAGCACTAGCTCCAGTTAGGCATATAAATGACAATTAGAAGGGACAGAAGTTATGGTTATGTCAGCAGCCTCCAGTGAGCTAGGATATGAACTGTCTAAGTCTTTTCAAGCTAAACAAATATATATACACATTCAACCCATTTAAGTGAAGAGACACATTTAAGTCCACAAAAGCAAACTTAACTACCTACTATATAACTTACTTTTTATTGAAAGTATCTTGCATTCATGATGGATGCTTTCTGGGTTTTACCACATATTTTAATGATAAAAGTTAAATTTTTTTTACATGCAAGTAGTGTGAATAATTTTCCCCACATGGGAACACTGATTATAAAAAGATGACATCCCACATGGGTTAAGTGTCTTTTTTAATTGAAAAGCTAACAAACTGTCCAGTTACATTTCTCCCAAAAACCCACAAACTAGGTAGTAACTGAGTCTCTAGGCAATATATTTAAAACTAAGAGGATTAAAAATAAAATTAAAGAAAAAGAAAACAAGTCCTCAGATGCAATGAAGGGAGCCCTGCTACATACAGGCTAATCAATACAGTGGTACTCCTTAACGCAGGAGGCTGGAAGACATCCTAGTAACTCCACTCAGAACATTTACCTCAAGAAGCCTTTTTCCAGTTTCCAACTCATGAATAAAGAGAATATTTTGTTAATTCTATTCCAAAAAACTTTTTTGCAACTTGTTTTATTTACAATGCCAACTTTCAAAAGGTCATTAAAGTTAACTGGACAATAAACTAGGCAGAAATTGCTTTACAAAAAAGAGGGAAAGCCCAGAATGCCACGTATAGAGAACCCACAGTTCAGTTTTATTCAGAGCAAAGAAAAAAGAAACTTTCGATCATACTAGAAGAAACTCAGCCATAGGTTTGGAATCTATACTCAAACTACACATGCAATGAGGACAATATTCTGCTAATACAATTGACTCGCTGCTGCATTTGTCTACTGTTTGTCTAATATTAACAATTATAAACAGAGCAGTGCAACTAGTATTTGGAACAATCCTTACAGTGTTATAGTGTCAGGCACAACATTTCACTTCTCTTCACACCACTGGTTCTCTTTGCGTACCTAAAAGAGATGAATATAAGGAAGTACCTTAACTTGAGTATTCCTAAGACTTAAAATACTACCTACTGATTCATCAATAGCCAGTGAGTTGAGTCAGAACTGAGAACCCATGGAAAATTAGAATAACATCAGATTAAGACTTTATTTCCGGATTTCCTTTTTTTTGCCTCCCATGGTTTTTATTCTGCCCTGCTGAAATTATGAACAAAGCAAAGGCAATGGGCAATTTACTAAAGTTGACAGAGCAAATTCAGTTAATTCATTCACATAATTTCAGTCTGTAGTCATGTCAACAAAATCATTCTGATCTATTATTTCATTTCCTCCCCTCATTAAGTTACTCTACAGTACCCTAGCATACACTTCTCTATAGGGCTTGCTTTTCTGAAGTCAGATATGTATGGTCTATACAGAAAGTTGCAGGTGCCAAAACTAGTAACTGTTAATACAGTAACAAGAGCTCTTCTCATTGAAAACTAATTGTTCTTATGCTTAAAATGCAGTATCACCTAAGTGCTCAGATTCATAAAGACAGACCAGTAAGAATATGTTTAAGACACATAAAGTACATATTATCCCTGAAGTATCAAGACTACTTGATACAGTCACCTCTTTTCCTGGCATGTTATAGGCGTTAGTCCCTTTTTAAGAGCATGTGATCAAAGACAAAACTTTGTGCTACCTACCTGGGCTTCCTCCTCTTCAGTAAAATCATTTTTGATATTGAAGGTCTTGCGAATCTCCTCAGGAGTCTTCCCCTTGATCATATTGGCAACAGTCTTGCATGTAACATCAAGCAAACCTTTGATGTCTAAGTAGTTTGCAGCCTGTAAAGAGACAGTTGTTTTCCTTCAAGTATACTTGATGTTTTAAACTAAATCCAAAGTTAATGACTGACACTCCATATCTAATAAAGCTTAAAATGCTAATTTTAAATTAAAGGGAGAATAAATCACTCGTAAGTTCTTCTGTGAAAGACTTTTATGTGACCTTCTTTGTTACACCTCTATAATGTTGCATCCCTATGCTTCCTTAACCAAACTATACTAGCTCAAATGTTAAATAACAGCCACTACTGTTGTGTATGTGTGTACACATGCACACAAATACCACATCAGGTCTTGGCAAAAATATTTGTCCACACTTAAAGAGTTCAAACATAAGCAGTTACAGCACTACACTTTATTGATCTCTTTTTAAAAAACAGGTTTTGGTTTCATTGACTTTATTGTTTACCTGTTTTCTATTTCATTGATTTCTGCCCTTTAATATTCTCATTTTTCTGTTTACTTTAATTTCATCCTTTACTAGTTTAAGGTGGAAGCTTAGATCACCGATCTGAAGCTTTTTTCCTTTCTAATAATATAGGTATTTCATTCCATCAGTTTTCTTCTAAGTAATTCTTTAGCTGCATCTCACAGATTTTTCATGTGTTTTATTTCCATTCAGCTCGAAATACTTTCTTTTCATTTCTTCTTTGACCCGTAGCTTACCTGCAAATGTGTTAGTTTAAAAGTAGTTGCAGATTTTTCCAAATATCTTTCTGTTTGTGATTTCTAATTCCATTGCAGTCAGAAGACAAACTTTGTATGACTTGAATCCTTTTACGATAGACTTTTTTTTTTTGAGACACCATCTCACTCTGTCACCCAGGCTGGAATTCAGTGGCATGATCTCGGCTTACTGCAACCTGCACCTCCAGGTTCAGCCAATTCTCTTGCCTCAGTCTCCCAAGAAGGTGGGATTACAGGTGCGTGCCTCCACACCCAGCTAATTTATTTATTTATTTTTGAGACGGGACTCTCACTGTGTCACTGGAGGGCAGTGGAGCGATCTTGGCTCACTGCAAGCTCCACCTCCCGGGTTCACGCCATTCTCCTGCTCAGCCTCCAAGTAGCTGAGACTACAGGCACCTGCCACCACGCCCAGCTAATTTTTTGTATTTTTAGTAGAGATGGGATTTCACCATGTTAGCCAAGATGGTCTCGATTTCCTGACCTCGTGATCCTCCCGCCTTGGCCTCCTAAAGTGCTGGGATTACAGGTGTGAGCCACTGTGCCCAGCCTAAAACATTATATGTAATGATAGCAGAATACATATTCAAGTGTATATTACCAAGACAGACCATGTCCTGGGCCATAAAACAAGTCTCAGCCAGGCGCAGTGGCTCACGCCTATAATCCCAACACTTGGGAGGGCGAGGCGGGTGGATCACTTGAGGCTAGGAGTTCGAGACCAGCCTGGCCAGCATGATGAAACCCCATCTCTACTAAAAATATAAAAAATTAGCTGGGTGTGATGGCTCATGCCTGTAATCTCAGCTACTCATAAGGCTAAGGCAGGAGAATCGCTTGAACCCGGGAGGTGGAGGTTGCAGTGAGCCAAAATCACACCACTGCGACCCAGCCTGTGTGACAAGAGTGAAACTCTGTCTCAAAAAAATAAATAAATAAATATATATATATATAAAATGTTTTATAAATGTCCATTAAGACAATTTGGTCAATAATGTTATATCAAGTTATCCTGATTTCTGTCTAGTTATGTTAACTGAGAGAGGTGCTGAAATCTCTATGATTGTCACTTTGTGGACTTCTTTGAGTTCTACTGGGTTTTGTTTCACTTCTTGGAAGTTCTGCTTCTAGGCAGATAAACATTTATAACTGTTATGTCTTTTTAAAAACTGATCCCCTTATCAATATGAAATAATCCTCTTTAACCCTGGTAATATTCTTTCCCTCCAAACCTATTTTAATATAGTTACTCCAGCTTTCTTTTGACTCGTGTTAGTGTAGTGTATCTTCTTCCATTCTTTAAACCTAGTTTATCTATATATTTAAAGTGGGCTTCTTTTTTTTTTTTTTTTTTTTTTTGAGACGGAGTCTCGCTCTGTCGTCCAGGTTGGAGTGCAGTGACCAGATCTCATCTCACTGCAAGCTCCGCCTCCCGGGTTTACGCCATTCTCCTGCCTCAGCCTCCCGAGTAGCTGGGACTACAGGCGCCCGCCACCTCGCCCGGCTAGTTTTTTGTATTTTTTAGTAGAGACGGGGTTTCACCGTGTAGGCCAGGATGGTCTCGGTCTCCTGACCTCATGATCCGCCCATCTCGGCCTCCCAAAGTGCTGGGATTACAGGCTTGAGCCACCGCGCCCGGCCTAAAGTGAGTTTCTTATAGACAGCATAGCTAAGCTTGCTTTTCTGATCTGGTAATTTCTGCCTTTTAGCTGTGTTGAGACCATTTACATTTAGTGTGTTACTGATATGTGGATTTAAATATGGCATTACATTTGAATTTAGAGAGTATTAAAATTCAGTGTCAATGAAGTTAGCAAATTTTAAATCTATAAGAAGTGTTTAAAGGCTCTGGAATAGAGCTATCTTACACATGAAAAACTTACCAGAATGAGTTCAAAAAGTGTTCCTTGGTCAACTTTCAGGAATTCTTGGTCCCAAACAGGGATATCGTCTGTTCGCTTTTCTTTGTTCTCATCATCTTCAGGAGGAGGAGGGTCATCCTTGTGGTGGGTGCACCACTGAATGACCTACAACAACAAAAGTTCATTCCTCTGTGGCATTTTGTCACAAGGTACTCATTCGAATCACTGCTGGGACAACTTATCCCTATACTGGAATAATAACTAGCTAGAGGTTGACTTGAGCCATTAACAGCCAAGCTTGAAAAGCAAAAATGAAGAATCTTTATAACCCTAGAAGGGAGAAGATCTTATTAGATAAAAGCAAGCCATGCTGATAGAGTACTGTACTTGACTACATTAAAAAGCTTCTATGCAAAAAGAAAAGTTAGACAGGACAATGACTGGAAGATACCTGCAGTATGTACAATGATTAGCCGAGAGAATATAAAATGTTTAAAAAATCATTATAGAGAAATGGGTTAATAATATGTACAGGCAATAAATGAAATCTAAAAGGCCAAACATAAGAACACTCAACTTTACCAGAAGCAAAACTAACACTATGGATACTTCTCTAGATTGAAAAAAATCAAGAAACTGATACTAATTGTTGGGCAACAGTGGAAAGGAAACACGAACTCTATAGAGAGTATAAATTGGTATAACCCCTTTGAAAGCTAATCCAGCACTCCTCAGTTAAAACTGAATATGTATATATATTGTAACCAGGAAATTCCAAATACCCCAGACACATGTGTAAGACTATTTGGTGTAGGAACAAAGCAGGAAAAGCCCCCAAAATTCCCTTAATAGGAGAATACTTACTTCATAAAGTTTCAGGAAGCTGATTACCTAGACTATACATACCAGCATAAAGACCAAAATCAATACTGAAAGTGTTTTCAGTTGTAGAATCTAGGCAGTGGCTACATGGGTGTCTACTGTGACAAAAATTCTTTCAATTTTTCTGTATGGTTAAAACGTTTTCATAGCAAAATATTGGAGGAATAAACAATGCTGAGAGAAAATGACAGGGTCAAGAAATTATACTGCCAGGATACAAAAAAAAAAAAAAAAAAAGAAAAGAAAACAATTTCAATAAGGAAAAGCCAAGCAATGGGTTTTTTGTTTGTTTTTGAGACAAGGTCTCACTGTGTCACCCAGGCTGGAATGCAGTGCCCTGATCATGGCTCACTCGACTTCCTGTGCTTGAGCGATCCTCCCACCTCAGCCTCCTGAGTAGCCTGGCTCATTTTTGTATTTTGTTTCTGTAGACATAACGTTTCATCATGTTGCAAACTCCTGAACTCAAGCAATTCACCCACCTTGCCCTCCCAAAGTGCTGGGATTACAAGTATGAGCCACCGTGCCTGGCCAGCAAAAGGTTTTTGTTTTTGTTTTAATTTTGAGAGAGTTTCACTCTTGTTGCCCAGGCTGGAGTGCAATGGCGCTATCTTGGCTCACTGCAACCTCCACCTCTTGGGTTCAAGCAATTCTGCCTCGGCCTCCTGAGTAGCTGGGATTACAGGTACCTGCCACAATGCCCAGCTAATTTTTTTAAATATTTTTAGTTGGCCAGGTTGGTCTCGAACTCCTGACCTCAGATGATCCACCCGCCTTGGCCTCCCAAAGTGCTGGGATTACAGGCGTGAGCCACTGCGACCAGCTAAGGGTTTTTAATGAAATAAAATAATAGCTTCTTAAGAAGTATTCCACTTATATAAGAAAACAAATGTCAATTAATATTTGCTTATCCAGGCATTTAAAACACTCTAAACTTGGGCGCAGTGGCTCATACTTGTAATCCCAGCACTTTTGGAGGCTGAGGCAGGATGACTGCTTAAGGCCAGAAGTTCAAGACTAGCCTCCTGGGCAATATAGAGAGACCCCATCTCTACAAAAAATGATGATAATAATAATAATAGGCTGGACACTGTGGCTCACACCTGTAATCCTAGCACTTTGGGAGGCCAAGGTGGGTGACTTAGTTGAGCCCAGAAGTTCAAGACCAGCCTGGGTAACATGGTGAAACCCTGTCTCTATAAAAAATACAAAAATGAGATAGGAGTGGTTGTGCACACCAACAGTCCCAGTTACTCAGAAGGTTGAGGCAAGAGAATCACTTGAGCCCAGTAGGTTAACACTGTAGTGAGCCATGACTGTGCCACTGCACTCCAACCTGGGCAAGCGTGTGACATTCTGTCAAAAAAAAAAAAAAAAAAAATCACTACCACTACTAACAAAAAATAAAAATTTAAAAATAAAAAACTCTTAAAAGGATATATAAGAAACTAATGCCTAGGTTCACAATGGGTGGCGCCAGGAAGTCTCTACAAAAATAAAAAAATTAGCTGGGCATGGTAGCGGGTGCCTGTAATCCCAGCTACTCGAGAGGATGAGGCAGGAAAATCACTTGAACCCAAGAGGCAGAGGTTGCAGTAAGCTGAGATCGTGCCACTGCACTCCAGCCTGGGCGACAGAGTGAGACTCTGTCTCAGAAAAAAAAAAAGGCCAGGCGCAATGGCTCACGCCTGTAATCCCAGCACTTTGGGAGGCCAAGGCGGGCAGATCACAAGGTCAGGAATTCACTGACCAACACAGTGAAACCCCGTCTCTACTAAAAAATACAAAAATTAGCCGGGCGTGGTGGCAAGTGCCTGTAATCCCAGCTACTTGGGAGGCTGAGGCAGGAGAATTGCTTGAACCTGGAAGGTGGAGGTTGTAGTGAGCCGAAATTGTGCCACTGCTCTCCAGCCTGGGCAACAGAGTGAGATCAAAAAAAAAAAAAAAAAAAAAAAAAGACCAAACAAACAAAAAAATTGAGGTTGGCTGGGCATGGTGGCTCCACCTGTAATCCCAGCACTTTGGGAGGCCAAGGCAGGGAGATCACCTGAGGTCAGGAGTTGGAGACCAACCTGGCAATATGGTGAAAACCTATCTCTACTAAAAAATACAAAAATTAGCTGGCATGGTGGTGGGTGTCTGTAATCCCAGCTATTCGGGAGGCTGAGGCAGGGAGAATTACTTGAACCCAGAAGGCAGAGGCTGAAGTGAGCTGAGATCACACCACTGCACTCCAGCCTGGGCCACAGGGCGAGACTCCATCTCAAAAAAAAAAAAAAAAAAAAAAAAAAACACCCAAACAAAAAAACCTTTTTTTTTTTTTTTAAGGGAAAAAAAAAAAAAAAAAAAAACCATAGAAATGTATAGTTTGCTACCTCAAGAATGGGGGAAAAGGCTGGGTGCGGTGGCTCACGCCTGTAATCCCAGCACTTTGGGAGGCCGAGGTGGGCAGATCACGAGGTCAAGAGATCAAAACCATCCTGGCCAACATGGTGAAACCCCGTCTCTACTAAAAATACAAAAATTAGCTGGGCGTGGTGGTGTGCACCTGTAGTCCCAGCTACTCAGGAGGCAGAGGTTGCAGTGAGCTGAGATCACGTCACTGCACTCCAACCTGGCAACAGAGCAAGACTCCGGTCTCAAAAAAAAAGGGGGGGGGTACAGGGAGAAACACACTTACTTGTTAATACCTGTATTACAAATACTAAAAGGATAAACTGCTACCGGAAAGGGGACTGGGATAGATAAGGACAGAAATGGGAACAAAGTGTTACATATTCCTTTCTTATGACTTTAGCCATTTCAAAATTATAAATCTAAGAAAGATAGTCACAATTCAATTCCACCATGCTCTAGAAGTGGTATCTTTACAGACGACTATTTAACAATATCTACCAAAATTTAGGTATATAAGCCAACCTGTGATCCAGATATTCTACATGTAGATCATCCTTCCTAGAGAAGTGTTTGCATAGGTATACACAGTACAGATGCCCAATAAATGACAATAGTCAACTGTGGCAAGAAAGCAGATAGAACTTTTTTCTGTATATTTTAAGAACATACAAACATCACTCAAGTAAGTGTTTAAGAACATTCAAATTTAAAAGTAATTTTAAGCAGTAAATTCTAACATAGATTGTTGAATTACTTATATTAATCAATTAGTGTTATATATTAAGCAGAATAAACTTAAAACTCTTTAAAGACCTTACCTTTTTTAATATTGCTGCATTCACATTTGGTAGAGGAACTGGGTCATCATCTCCTTCATCATCCATTCCCAAATCTAAGAAAACCAGAAGAAAGTTTCTATTTCCTAATTCCATTATAATACTTATACCAACCAAGCTATGTCTCAAAACATAAGAGTCAGCCCCCATATCCATGAGTTCTACATCTGTGGATTCAACCAACCACAGATCAAACATATTAGAAAAAAAAAATGGATGGCTGTCTCTGCACTAAACATGTAGACTTGTTTCCTTGTCATTATTCCCTAAACAATACAGTATAAAAACTACTTACATAGCATTTACATTGTATTTGGTATTGTAAGTAATCTAGAGAGGATTTTAAGTATACAAGGTGATGTGCATATATTATATGGCAACACTATACTATTATAGGGACTTGAGTATTGGTGGATTTTGGTATCCACAGGGGTGTCCTAAAACCAATCCCCCATGGATACCAAGGGACGACTGTAACTTTTAAGACATGTCTGAAAGAATATAAAAAGGACTTCACTTAGAACAGCTCTCTTAGGAGCATTTAAAAATTGGTGGCTCCTAAAGATGGAGTCCATAAAACCACCCAAAACTACATAAACTTGTGTGAGTAGACAAATAAAGGAATATTACATTTAAAAAAGTTCTTAATTAGGAAGAAAAGTGATTTAGTAAGTTGGGCTTGAATGACTGGGCAGCCATCTGAAAAAATTAAAGATGGACCCTTTCCTTACCCCTTTACATCAAATTCTCCAGATGAACTGTATTTTAAAAAGTAAAATAATGAAAACTATTACAGTTAATAAAATGTCGATCTATTCAAATCTGAAACCCACAGATGTGTGTATACATACACACACTAAAAACACTAAAAATACACACAAACACACACACATACACACACAATCATGCAGCCACTGACAAAAACAAGGCAGGCAGCTCCAAACATAATGGTATGATCCCAAGATTAAAGTTTTTAAACTAGGTTAAAAAAAATTATCCGAATAAAAATAGAAATCGCTTTTTTCCAACAGGATATATGAGAAAGAGGTAATATTATGTGTAAGGAAGTTAAAGAACATCAGTTAAGGGACACAATTATGGGGCTCTCAAAAATCCAGGCAAAAGATGATAGCCTGGACAAGGTTTGTAGCTAAGGAGGTGGTAAGAGATGACCTAATTGTGTCTGCATTTTGAAAGTAGAGACAATAGAATTTGCCAACAGAAGGCAAGTAGAATGTGAAAAGAGTTAACACTAAGGTTTATGGCATGAAAAGGATGAAGTTGCCACCAATTGATAAGGGGAAGGCTGTCAGAGGAACTATTATTTTTAGGAAGAGAGGATCAAGAGCTCTAGTTTCCTAAATGTAAAATATTAGATATCCAAGGGCAGTTGTATGTTCAAGTCCAGAAATCGAGAGAAGAAATCAGAACTGTAAGTAAGTTTGGGAATTGGTGTATAGATGGTTTATAATGCTATGACACTACGATCAAGCAAATGGATGTGTATAAATATAGTGAAGAGGTCCAAAGATGAAGCCCTGAGGAACTGCAGGCTTTAAAGACAGGAAGACAGAAGGGTGTGAGGTAAGTGGAATTTTAGGAACCAAGTGAAGAGGGGAATAATCAAGCATCAAATAATGTCAACAGGTCTAGGTTAAGAACTGAAAACAGACCATGCACTTGATGACATGGGGTTCACTGAGCTTTATTTATAAGCAGTTCCAGTGGAGTGGTAAAGATGAGTAGATTCAAAAATAATTCATGTTATCTTGCATGGATGGATTCACTCATCTCCCCTCTCTTCTTCCTCCCACCAATGCCTATCCCTCATCCTATCTCAGCTTAGCGTGAAACTGTAAAATGACAATGTCTCATGTAAAGCTCTGTGTGGAACAAGTCGCTTATGTCTTTCCTGAACAAGTATGAAATCTTTTTCATCAGGTGAGAGAAAGAAGTTATAAAATGTAAAATACTTTGGTCTTGAGAACTAAGATATCAGAGGAAACATACAGAAGACCAGCTTGTTTAGATCCAAATGTAATTTGGAATGAGGCTTAACTCACACTAAAAACAAGGCTTTTCGCCAGGCATGGTGCCTCACGCATGTAATCCCAGTACTTTGGGAGGCCAAGGTGGGTGGATCACCTGAAGTCAGGAGTTCGAGACCAGCCTGGCTAACATGGTGAAATCCCATTTCTACTAAAAATACAAACAAATTGGCCAGGCGTGGTGGCTCATACCTGTAATCTCAGCACTTTGGGAGACAGAGGCAGGCAGATCACGAGGTCAGGAGTTCGAGACCAGCCTGACCAACACGGTGAAACCCCATCTCTACTAAAAATACAAAAAACTAGCCGGGTGTGGTGCTGCACGCCTGTAGTCCCAGCTACTCAGGAGGCTGAGGCAGAAGAATCACTTGAACCCAGGAGGCGGAGGTTGCAGTGAGCCGAGATTGTACCATTGCACTCTAGCCTGGGTGACAGAGTGAGACTCCGTCTCAAAAAAAAAAAAACAACAAAAAAAACTGGGCATGGTGGCATGTGCCTGTAATCCCAGCTACTTGGGAGGCTGAGTCAGCAGAACTGCTCAAACCCATGAGGCAGAGATTGCAGTGAGCCGCGACTGTGCCATTGCACTACAGCCTGGGCAACAAGAGTGAAACTCCATCTCAAAAATAAATAATAAAAAAAAAATAAGGCTTTTATGACTGTAAAGGATCGTAAAGCTAATTTTTTATTTTTTGTAAAGACAGGGTCTTGCTATGTTGTCCAGCTGGTTTTGAACTCCTGGGCTCAAGCAATCCTCTTTAAATCCTCCAGCATTTAAACTAAGGATGTACAGTATTTTTTGCTTTCAGACTAAAAGCACAAGTAGCAACAGTCATTCCTTTAAGCTATTCAGTTTCATGGACTTCTGAAAGATATCTGTATCCTGATACTGTACCCTGGACCTGAACTAATCATCCAATCCACATGTAAATGTGCCAGGAGTCTCACTTCTGATTGTCCTGTGGATTAAAAGGTTTTATTTTTGTTTCCTAAGTCACATAAAACCCATAACCAGAGATACTGCAGATGGAAAACAAGAAAAGCAGTAAGTTGCCAAATTCAAAAGACTCCAGTCCTCAAGAGGCTAGAATCTTATGTAAGCCATTGGTACTTAAGATAAAACCATTCACTTGATTCCCAAAGGCAATGGAGTAAAAGAATAATTTAATTGTTGCTAACTGCCTATCAGTCCACTTACTTCAGTGATCAAAGTCGGCATGGTAAGTCTTCAAGATGCCCTACGTTTTTAAACTTGGCAAATGCTTCTTTGAAGCAGCACAGGACAGATTAGTGTGTCAGGCACCAAGATAAAATAACCCTTTCAATGCCAAAGTATTCAGGCAGCAATTCAGGTATCAGTTTCTACATCTTCTGGATAAAACCTTACTCACCTGGCCTTTTAGGGACACTTGGATTACTTTCACTTTTTTTTAGTGAGCATAACATACTTCTTCATTCAATAGGTACTTGATGAACAGTGACCGTGGGATGTACCAAGCAGTTTACAACTTAGTAGAAGTTATCAAGTTACCAGAATACAGGACTTTAAGGGCCACCATGATTGGTACCAGTTACTAAAGAGAATTCTAAGCTTTTATCAGAAAACAGATGTCACCCACTTAAAAAACAAAATGGAAGACACATCTCTGTAATTCAGCTTCTGCCTCTACCACACCTAAGCATCTGCAGCCAGAAGTCCTCTAACTTATTAACTATGAAATTCTAAGGACCAGTCTACAGTATATAAATCTGGCAATCACTCTAGTCACCCAGAAATATTCCCTTTTCCCTTAACTTACACAAATCCTACTTTACTAATTCTCTACTACTGACTTCTATACACTTTAGCACCCCAGCTCCAACATCATCATCTTCCAGAGTTAAACTCCCATAACCCAATATATAAAACAAGTCTCCTTATCTCTAGCAGTCTAACTCTGGGGCCAATATTCACAAACTCAATCACCTAGTAGACTGCTACATAGATCTTCTGAAGGAATCTCAAACATGGTTTAAGCTTAAAGTCTTTTCTTCTCCATTCCTCTCAAACCCATTTTCAGCTCTACCAACTACAGTATCGCAATTCCATCCCACCCCAACTGAAAACCTTATTTTTACTTTCCCTAGCATACCCTGTCTACTTTACTTCAGAATGATCTCCCAAAACATCCTAATTTTACTGGATTTAAATCTCACCTCGGCTGGGCTTAATGGCTCACGCCTGTAATTCCAACATATTGGGAGGCTGAGGTGGGAGGATCACCTGAGGTCAGGAGTTTGAGATCAGCCTAACATGGAGAAACCTCATCTCTACTAAAAATACAAAATGAGCTGGGCATGGTGGCACATGCCTGTAATCCCAGCTACCTAGGAGGCTGAGGCAGAAGAAGTGCTTGAACCCCAGAGGCAGAGGTGGCAGTGAGCTGAGATCGCACCACTGCACACCAGGCTGGGCAACAAGAGCAAAACTCAGCCTCAAAAAAATAAATAAATAGAAGAAATATCCTCACCAGTACTACATACTGCAATCTCTTCAAGACTGAAGCATAACACTAGCCAAGATGTTCCACGGCGCCACTTGGCACGCAACTTTATTAATGCGCTAATTACACCATGTGACAAGTTTGCCTTGTTTGTGTCTGGCTTCCCTCCTAGTTTATAAGTTCTTCAAGGGCAAAGGCCATGTCTCACTTACCTTCTTTTCACCAGCACCAATGTTGGCATATAACCCTTCTCTTCGTTTAAGTATTTATAAGCCACTGATCTTCCCTACATAAAAAACCTCTGACATTTAAGTACTAAAGAACACTCAATACTACTGAGTTTTTTTCATCAATTCCAGACACTGATTTGTATCACCCCACTGGTAATACTTAAAAGAGATCTACATTAACTAGTGAATTTCAAGAACTGTTTTCTAACTCACTTCCTTATGCTGCATATATACTTTGTAGCAGTTTCAGGGGAATGACAAAATGGACAAAAGAGAAAGCTTGTTTTAAAAAAAAAAAAAAAATTCTGCCTGGCACAGTGGCTCATGCCTGTAATGTGGCTCTTTCCAGTACTTTGGGGTGCTGAGGTGGGAGGATGGCTTGAGTCAAAAAGTGTGAGAATAGCCAGGGTAACATTTAGGCTGGGTATGGTGGTTCACGCCTGTAATCCCAGCACTTTGGGAGGCTCAGGCGGGCAGATCATGAGGTCACAAGTTCAAGACCAGCCTGACCAACATGGTGAAACCCTGTCTCTACTAAAAATACAAAAATTAGCCAGGCATGGTGGCGTGCACCTGTAATCCCAGCTACTTGGGAGGCTAAGGCAGGAGAATCACTTGAACCCGGAAGGCAGAGGTTGCAGTGAGCTGAGATCATGCCACTTGTACTCCAGCCTGGGCAACAGAGCAAGACTCCGTCTCAAAAAAAAAAAAAAAAATTAAAAACTCAGCTGGGGCTGGGCACGGTGGCTCACGCCTGTGATCCCAACACTTTGGGAGGCCAAGGCGGGCGGATGACCTGAGATTGGGAGTTCGACACCAGCCTGACCAACATGGAGAAACCTCGTCTCTAAAAAAAATACAAAATTAGCTGGGCTTGCTGGTGCAAGCCTCTAATTCCAGCTATTCGGGAGGCTGAGGCAGGAGAATCGCTTGAACCAGGGAGACAGAGGTTACAGTGAGTCAAGATTACACCATCGCACTTCAGGCTAGGCAACAAGAGCAAAAATCTGTCTCAAAAAAAATCAGCTGGATGTGGTGGCATGAGCCTGTAGTCCCAGTTATTCAGGAGGCTGAGGTGAGAGGATTGCTTGAGCCCAGAAGGTTGAGGCTGCAGTAAGCCGTGACTGCACCACTGCACTCCAGCCTGGGCAAGAGTGAGACTCCGTCTCAAATGAATGAATGAATGAATGAATGAATAAATAAATAAATAAATAAATAAATAAATAAATAAATAAAATCTACACAGCAATCCACAGAGCTCACTCCCTCCACTGAAATAAGGTGTTCTATTCAGCTACCATTATAGGACGGTATCTCTTTTCCAAAGACTTTAATTTCTGTCACTGGAACTTATGAATCCAAATTTACTTGAACAGAAATTAACCATTGCCTAAGGCTTGGCAATCACTTCAATGTTTATTACCTTATGATTTTATCCATTTAATTACAGAACAACCCTCACTAATTAAGACAATGCAGAAAGGATGACTTGTATCAAAAAAATGTAAGTTATAAAGAAAAAAATGTAAACTTTACCTCTTTATACTCTCAAGCACCTTATGACAGCCTGCTGCTCATATAAACTTGACATTCACAAATTATCTCAAATTACACATTTCTCCCCACCCAGGTTTTCCAATGAACTTACCTTCCAACATGGTCTTAATAGTCACAGATTGTTTGGCAATTTCCACATCAACTTCAAATATCTCTCCATCAGAACTCTGCAACTTAATTGAAGGCATCTAAAAACAAGTACATTAGATGTAAAATTTGAGAGAGAGTTCTACATGATATTTCATCAACTACAGTCCGTCAGAAGGCTATAACTTATTGACCACAAAGTTCTAAGGACCTACAATACATAATCCTGTAAAACACTGTTGAAAGTAGTTATTCACAGGTTAGCCTGCAAGTATTTCTATTAACTTTTTTCAAAGTATAACTACTAGGAACAGAAGCTTTTAAGGCCTGCCCTACTGAACTCACTATTGGTATAAGTTTAATAAAACATACATATTTGTATTTGCTTTCTTCCTGCCTTTCGTCTCCCAATGAATACTGGACTACTCCATTTGAGCAGTTAACTGCCACAATTAACTACATGCAAACCTAAGGAAGGTCAGTCCAAAATAAACAAGGCTACCAAATAAGACAGAAATTTTCCCCACAGTGAGACCTACCTGTGAATATGAGTTCAGATCCAGAGAGTAAATCAGAATATGCTGATTTATGTCTGAGGCAATGCAAGACCATATACACGAGAATAAAATGATTTAAAGATAAGCAGATGTGAGTACAATTCCCTAAATCTAGTAAGAAGCTTCATTTCAGAGCGCTTTTTATCTTTCAGTACTGACTGTCCAGCTGACCAACTTTGAGATCTCTTGTCAAGAGCTCCATAATAATGACCTATTACTTGCTCTGAAAATGCATTTATTAACTCAGATTAATTATGAGTCACTAGGAAAAAGATAATCTTACATAAAAAGTTAGGCAATTAGGCCGGGCACGGTGGCTCACGCCTATAATCCGAGCACTTCGGGAGGCCGAGGCAGGTGGATCACGAGGTCAGGAGATCGAGACCATCCTGGCTAACATGGTGAAACCCCATCTCTACCAAAAATACAAAAAATTAGCCGGGCGTGGTGGCGGGCGCCTGTAGTCCCAGCTACTTGGGAGACTGAGGCAGGAGAATGGCATGAACCCAGGAGGCAGAGCTTGCAGTGAGCCGAGACCGCGCCGCTGTACTCCAGCCTGGGTGGCAGAGTGAGACTCCGTGTCAAAAAAAAAAAGTTAAGCAATTAATTTCAAAGGACTTGAGTTCTGGCCCAAAAAAAAAAAGGAATTTAAAATTAAAAGTCCAACAATTTCTTACCATCTTCAAATTCTTTTTTTAAAAAAGAAAATATACATAAAAGAAAAACAACAAAAAGAGTAGCAATACCTGGTACAGATTAATTCAAGGCCTCTTAAAATTCACATACAACTTTTAAAAGGCCCATACTTCTCAAGTATTCATAATCCAATGACGTCACTATTAACTTACGGTACCTCTGAAGTTTTCTAGGTGTGTTGTATTAAAAATCGCATATATTTTCACAAAAGTGTATCATTTGGCATTTAAAACATGCATCACACCCATTTTATGTTCAAAGACTTATGACCCGGTTAAAATATTCATTCAGCTTCTCTGAGACAATTGTCCCCAACCCCAAAGCAAACAGGTTCTTAGGCAAAGGAAGCAAAAAAGTAAAGCGTGTTTTAAAACCAGCCACTGAAATATCCTACTCTCACTCATCCATGGTTGGAGAGAATCAGATTTCACTTTGCAATTCACAAACATGTCTGCTTCTCCATGTTGCTTAGCGCTTGCCAGTAATGCCGTTGTCCCTGCTCAATGAAGAAGGACCCAGAGTAGAGGACCCTTCCTGTGACAAGAAAACAACAAAAGGTATCTCCAAAAGAAAATATTTTAACGTGAATCCAATTTTTAATTATAAAACATTTAAACATGTAATTTTTATATCAGATAGTACTGAAATGAACAGTGCAGAATCACAAGTCTAACAATGCAGTTGATAAAATTACTCTAAAAGCAAGACGACCGTTTCATATTTCTTTCAAATAACTCAAGTGCTTAGTCATAGTCAAATTCGTGGATTGGGTTACTCTTAAGGGAGTTGAGATCTTACTAAATAGCAGGTAGGTAATCGGTTAAATCTGTAATTCGATGCACTTGGTAATACTAAACAAAAAGATAAGTTTTAGTGTTACAGTAGAATAAAGTGCAAAATTTTTAAGTAATAATGGATGAAATTTTGATGTGAAATGTTTTCAAAACAATTCCATTCTAAAGAAAGAGGCCTAAAGGCTCCTGCACTTGTAAATAATTCTCCATGGCCAGCATAAAGTGGGTTCTATCACATCATAAAGGGAAAAAACCCTGCGTTTTAAGTGACCCGAAATTCTGACACTGCTTTTTAGACTGCACAGTGGAGGAGACTGGATTGTTCTATGACACAGATACATTCTATTGTGACGCTCTAATGGAAAAATGCATGTTCCTAAAACCCAAACGTGAAGTTCCCATTAAAAGTGACCCAAAGCAGCTGGACATCCTATTTCTTTAAAAGCCAGACACCTCGAGTTAAGTTATACACAGCTAAGGCTCTTACAAGTCACACCACTCTGAAGATGGTATCTGCTATCACAATAGTTATTTCAACGACTCCAAGTCATAGCAAAACAACGCGAAGAAATATTTAGAAGGAACAGGCGGCTATGTGCAGAAACTCGGCGCCCGCACACAGTTAGCCAGGACCGACGGGTAGCTAGTGACGCCAGACACGGGGGAGAAAGGATGGCAGCCAAGAACCGGGCGGCCTCAGACCACCACCGCAGCTCTCCCTCCCGACCACAACAAAAGCCAGACACCGACACTCGCCCATGCTCACGACAGCCAAGGGACCCCCATTCACAACCCCGCCGCCACCCCCGCCCTGGTCCCCGGGACAGCAGCCTTAAGGCCAAGAGAGGCCTCCAGCCATAGCCTGGGCCTTGCAGCCGAGCCTGCGCCGGCTGACGCTCGGCCGGTGCAGAGAAAGCCCAGCCCGGGGTTCGGCTCACACTTATGGAGCGCTGTGAGGACGCGCGGCCAGAGCAGGCCTCGCTGAATCGGGGGCGGAGAGGGTGAACGAGACCTGATGGTGTCTCCCGAAGAACGGGGTCGACAACACGATCCACCGGGCCCGAAAGAAGGCCAGGCCCAGTCACCGCCCGCCGCGGGCAGGCCCAAACCGCAGCAGTGAGGCCAGCCTGCATGCAATCCGGGCGCCACGACCCTTTCCAGCTCAGTGGGCGGCTACTCACGGTGTTCGGTGTTAAGGAGACTGCCGGCGGGAGGCTGACGAGAGCTAGGAGACGTCAGCGAAGGAACAGAGAAGCGAAGGACGAAGCCACTACAGCGTCTCGGCGCGGCGCGGCGTCTGCTTTATAGGAGAGGGCGCAGGCGCCGAGGACCCCGGGGCGCGCGGCGTCACACAGCGGCTGGGCTGGCCGCCGAGATCGCCTGACGGCAGGCCGAAGACGGCTGGGCGGGCCCAGGCCGGGAGGCGACGAGGAGCTCCCGGGGCGGCTGGCCGGGGGGTCGGGGAACGGGAGAGCTTTCGCTTTTCCCTAGCTCTGAAAGCGCCGCACTCTCTCATCAACTGGGTGCCGAACCCTGTCTGGCCTAGAAAGGTCTTTCAGGCAGGGGCGCCCTAAGCCGAGTAAAATACCCCAGCTAAAAGGCCTGGAGAAAACAAAACGGGGCGTGTGTGCGCCTATGTGTGTGTTCCTGGGAACAACAGAACGGGGCGCGCGCGCGCGCGCGTGTGTGTGTGTGTGTGTGTGTTCATTCCTGGGAGGGGCTGCGTGTGTGTGTACGCGCGTGTGTTCATTCCTGAGGTGTATATGTGTGTGCGCGCGAGTGTGTGTGTGTTCATTCCTGGGGTGGAGATGGGGGGACGCTTGTGTGTGTGTGTTTTACTACTGAACTGATACAGCTTGTCCAGCCTCCATTCTCCACAGTAACCCTCCGAGGTGAAATAGTGTTAGCCTTTTCGCCTCTGCAGTGAGGGAACAGGTTCGGAACGGTTAAGTGGCAGAGCCAGGATTTGAACATTACTCCACAGTTAGGTGCCGTTAGCCCTTATTTCCTACTATTGACTTCTAAAGAGGCTTCCGTGCCAAAAATAGCCATCGTCGTAGGGAAACCCCAAGTCTAGAGAGATGGCCTCCATCTAGCAGTAGGTACCCATTCCTTAACTAAACATGCTCTGAGCCCGACAAGCGAGGCGTGGTGCTGGGGATTCGGCAGTGAACCAGGCAGCCAGGACCCAGCCTGGACAGAACTCTTGTCTGGGGTGCTCCCAGGAAGGCTGTGATGAGGTCGATGGAATGAAGCCAGCAGTAAAGGAACGGGAGTAGTCTGAAAGCCCCACCCCGCTCTGCTCGGGAACATTATTCTCCCTGTCCTAGGAGACTGGGCGCCGGGCTCGCCTAGCCAACAGGCACGTGATGGTATCCCTGACACAGGAAGACAAAAGATACTTCCACACAGGGCCCCCTGAAGAAACCGGAGACGTACAGTGCCTCTGGGATGGGACTGGGCAGGAATGCCAAGCAGCTTCTTGAGTTACCAGGTCTTTGTCTACAAGCTGTGGTATCCAGTGTCTGCCAGGTGCCACAGCTGATGACAGAAGATGAAACGCCTGCAGCTCTCAGATATTTTCTCAGCAGCACAGCCCTGCCCTCAGCAGCTCCAGCTTCAGGCCTCCTAGGCAGGGCCCACTGGAGCCCCTTTGCTCCGCTGCCTATGGTATGCAAGGTGGTACCTTATAAACTCTCCTTGAGCGTCCTAAGCAGGACTGTGCAGTGTCAGGTCACACAGCTAGCCTGGGGGCCCAGCACAGGGTCTGGCGTAAAAGTAGGTATATGTTTTTCCAAATATGTCTGAAAACCCCCTTTATTAGAATCACCAAGAAATGCCTACTTTTAAAAGAGATTTCGGGGCCGGGTGTGGAGGCTCACACCTGTAATCTCAGCACTTTGGGAGGCCGAGGTGGGCAGATCACCTGAACTCAGTAGTTCGAGACCAGCCTGGGCAACATGGTGAAACCCCATCTCTACAAAAAAACAAAAATTAGCTGGGTATGGTGGTGTGAGCCTGTAGTCCCAGCTACTCTGGAGGTTAAGGTGGGAGGATCACCTGAGCCTAGGAGGCAGAGGTTGTGATGAGCTGGGATGATGTCACTGCACTCCAGCCTGGGTGACAGAGTGAGACGCAGTCTCAAAAAATAAATAATAAAACATATTTCATTTGGTTGTATATGGTGCTTTATGTATAGATTATCTCAGGAAAGATACACAAGAAATTGGTCGCCTCAGAGGAAGGGAACTAGGTCACTGAGGGACGGGTTAGAATAATTTTTCACCTTATACCCCTTTCTACCTTTTGGGTATCAATTCACATCAATGTATTACATATTCAAAATTTTTAACTTAAAAATAAATTGGTTCAAGAAAAATGCAGATTCCTGGGTCCACTTTCAATCTAATAACTCCCTGGCGGCAGGTTTTTCTGCCCTTTAAACAAGTTCTCCAGGTGATCCTCAAGCCCAGAGTAAGTGAATAAACCTCTGTAGTAGCGTCTTAGTGGTGAAGCACTGCCAGGAAGGAGCCAACAGTGTTCGTCAAAGGTGACTAGTTTAGCTCCTCACTTTCTGGATCAACCCTACCTTCTCTCAAACCCTCCACTCAGGAGGGCCAAGGTAGCTGCAGCACTGTGGGACAGGCTGGGAGTGACTCATCTCCATTCATTTATCCATAGTGATGACCACAGGTCAGAAAGGACTGGCCCGCACAGAGTCCCCATGGTACGTGTGGATACATGTGTGGGTGTGAGGGGCAGGGGTACCTATGTTACCAGAGCTGGCCCTGAGGAAGCTGAGGCTCCACCCTTACTCCAGTCACTCCATATGCTCCGTGCCAAGGGGTAATCAAAACCCCTTGTCCTAAGAGGAAGGAAACAAAACCAGACTTTCCCAGCCATCACACCAGCCCCAGCTATGTATCTGCCATCACAGCCCAGGCAGTGAATCTTAGCCCCATTCTTCAAATGCAGGAGCATTTTCTAATTTACAGCTGTTCCCAGCATACTACTTCCAGGGAGACTAAAGGCCTTTGATTCAAATATTCCAGATGTGAAAATCCAGTTTTTATGATGAATTCATTTCCAGAAATGATCTCCCTTTGTAAGTCTTCGTTGGAGTCTTCGTTGCTATAAAGCATTCACAGGAGGATTCCTATGAGGAGCAACCCTGTCAGTGCATCTAAAGCAGGACGCTGGGCCGGGCACAGTGGCTCATGCCTGTAATCTCAGCACTTTGAGAGACCAAGGCAGGAGGATCACTTGAGGTCAGCAGTTCGAGACCAGTCTGGCCAACATGGTGAAACCCCGTCTCTACTAAAAATACAAAAAAAAAAAAAAATTAGCCAGGCATGGTGGCAGGTGTCCGTAATCCCAGCTACTCGGGAGGCTAAGGCAGAAGAATTGCTTGAACCCAGGAGGTGGAGGCTGCAGTGAGTGGAGATCTCGCCACTACACTCCAGCCTGGGCAGCAGAGCAAGATTCCACTCAAAGTAAACAAACAAACAAACAGGACTCTGCAGCCCAGAATTCAGTTCTCATTCTATTTCTTGTGCACCCATCCATGGGACAGACTCTGGACTTAGATACATGTTCCATCCCAGAGGAGAGCATGTAAGCTAGGAAGTATTCAGTGTGCACGGTCAAAGGTCTCCTGGCTGCATCCTGCTGTGTGTCAACTCTCTCAGTCTTGGTCCTCTAATACAGGGGTAAGCATAGCCTCTCTGAAGTCAGACTACCTGCCTCTGTTACGTGCTCTTGGGTAACTTACTTCACGTCTCTGGGCCTCACCTTCCTCTGTTGAAAGAATTGGAAAGAAGGTATGATGCCAGGCTTGGGGTGGGGAGGAGACCACTGCATGCAGTTAGCTTCCAGTGTGGGCCTCTGAGAAGGGACTCTCTCTCATTCTTCCATCCTCTCAACCCAGGGATAGGGAGGGATTAGGACCCCAGATAGGTTTGGAGGTTCTGAGAGAGGGGAGAATCTGTCTGTGGGTAGGGTCTAAATAATCTTCCATGATGAGAAAGTATGGTAGCAGTCAAGTAGAAATGGCAGCTGGGTGTGCCTACGCAGGGGGCCCTGGGAGCATCTCAGTCCCATGCCTAATGTGTGAGAATCCCAGGAAGCATTAGCATGTGTCGTGAGGCCCTAGAACAGCATGAAGTTGCTGAGAGGGGCCATATAACCAGGAAAGAACTTCTGGGATAATAAACAGAATAAAGGGAGCACTAACGCCACAGTGCAAGCCAGAGACCGTGGCACGAATGCATACATCTGTGGGCAGAGTAGAAACCAGAGATGACAACCCACAACTGGCAGGGGCGAAGTCGGCCTGCCTCCCTGAGCAGCAGAGGAAGATGATGATGACCAAGGACCAGACAACCTTAACCCCCTCACTTCCCACTCCATGCCATGACCACATAACCTCCACAGAACGTAACTGTGCCCCTGGATAGAAGTGGAGGGAGAGAACACTCGACTGAGTATTCCCTGGAATGACTGGGTGATCACACACTTACTTGACTGTATTTGCCAGGAAGTGATCAGATTATATTTCTGCTGTCAAATGGAAATAAGTGCTGTAGAAAGGAATTATGAAAATAAGATAATATTTGACACACTCAAATATTCTGACTTTAAAATTCCATGCAGCCTGGGCGCTGTGGCTGACGCCTGTAATCTCAGCACTTTGGGAGGCCAAGGCAGGCAGATCACTTGAGCCCAGGAGTTGAAGACCAGCCTAGGCAACATGGCGAAACCCTGTCTTTACAAAAAATACAAAAATTAGCCAGGCGTAGTGGTGTGCGCTTGTAGTCCCAGCTACTCAGGAGGCTGAGGTGGGAAGATCACCTGAGTCCAGGAGGTGGAGGTTGCAGTGAGCCGAGATAGAACCACTGCACCTCAGCCTAGGTGCCAGAGTAAAACTCTATCTCAAAAAAAAAAAAAAAAAGTAAAAAAAAAAAAAATGCATGCAGCCACAGATGCAGAAGAATCACACAGACCTGCTGTTTCCCACTTGCTGCTAACATCCTGCATGATCTGGGATAAGTGGCTTCTCCTCGCTGAGTCCCAGACCCCTTGTCTGTCAAGTGGGGATTATAACAATACCAACACATAACAGGATTTTTGTGAAAATCAATTATTTTAGTCACCAGAATGGCTAAACTTAAAAGAATGACAATACAAAGTGTTAGCAAGGATGTGGAACAATCGGAACTCTCATACATTGCTGGTGGGAGTACAAATTGGCACACTTCAGAAAGCTGGCAGTATCTACTAAAGCTAAACCTACATATACCCAGTGGCCCAGCAACTCCAATTCTGGATATATACTCAGCAGAAATAAGCACTTATGTCCAC